ATGTCTTTTTGGCAGACAGTTTAGGTTGAGTTTGTTGATGTACAGTGCATCTAGGACACGCCGCCAGTATGTCAAAAGCTCTGGAAGAGAATCAGCCCCACAATAGAGGTCATCTGCAAGTTTAGCAACCATCCCTTCCTGCTGAAGATCATCCAAAACAGGACACAAGAGCTCCTCGAGTGCTGTTTCAGAACCTGGCATTTCCAAGGCACTTCTTGTGTAGACACAGACTCCCATAAAGGGGTTTATCACACAAGGCCTAGTAAAGTTAGGATGTGGCCTCCAAATCTTGAAGTGGCAGTTCTCATGACCTTGACCTCTTCGGAAGTGCTGACCTCATCTAGAAGAGATGTTAGTGCCTGTGATATTTACGGTTTAACAGAGGATATTGTTCTTGAACGTAACTTTATGTGCCATAAAGTTGTTTGACCAATCGTGGCAAGTCTTGGTGGAGCAACTGGAGCCATGTAAGGACGATGAAAGTCTCTAGTGAAGGAGTCAATTCCCCATCTTCCTCATTGTTCCTGACAAGGGCTTGTTTAAATCCACTGGCTTTTCATCGGGTTGAAGGTGTATATCACTGAAGTCAGGGAAATGCCCACCTGTTGACTGGAATACGTAGAGGAGACGTATAGTCTGCCAAATATTTTCAATGGAAGTGGAGGTTTTAACTATGATTCTCCACGAAATGGAGTCATCGTTCACAACACCAAACCAGTCATCACTTTTTTCATGGGGATCAACTTGCTCCTACACCGTCAACATCACAGTTCCTACTCAGAACTTGGACACACCACTGGTCTGTCATGTGTAGAGCTTGAAACTAGTCGACTAAAGATACGGGATTACAGTTTACTGAGCAGGAAGAATTATATGTCACATGTCAAGACTGACTGTAAACATCCTTTGACCGTAATCAGGTCAACTGACCTAGTGGGATTTGTGCAGTATATTGTACAGACTGACTTACATGATCACTTGTGCTTAACACTACAACCACTTGACCAGACACCCATCACTGTACAATCATGTGCCGATTCACAACTACAGCGATGCCTGCATGCACAGTGAACACACACTAAGCACCATCGTCCCCCGATATAATGGGAACACACAAAGCCCAAGAGATGGAAATGATCTTTTAGACCAAGTAATTTTTTATATTCAACCTGTCCTATGTGATACAGAATTGGTGCGCCTATACGTCTACCAGGGATTTGGCATTGGTTTGCTGACAACACAGTTTTCACATTTTGTCATGTCCGTGAAGATCGGGGGTATAATAGGTCTTCAGCAACCCATGCTTGGCGGAAAAGGTGATGATGATTGTCGTAAGAGGCAACGAACTGGATCGGGTGGTCAGGCTCACTGACTTGATTGAAGCATGTCATCGATCCCAATTGCGTGGATCCATGCTCAAGATATCAATCACTGGGTTGACTGGTCCAGTCTTGATTATTTACAGACTGCCGTCATATAGCTGGAATATTGCTGAATGCGGTGTAAAACAACAAACCAAACCAAGCCAAACCCGACATCAGCGCAGAATTGACTGAAGTGGACAAGCTGACTCCATCAGTTGTCGGATGGAAGCAAGACATATTCACGGGAATCAGTAAATAATGGTTTCCAGAAGAGGATTGCTGTCAATTACGCAGGGTGTTACTAGAACCGAATTGGACTTGGCGTTTCATACTACCAAATTTAAGAGATTGACACAACATTCTTTCCATTCACTGTCATTGAGGTTTTGTGTCAGTCCCAGAAGATCAGAATGTTACTAGCCCTTGGGAGCATTGTTTTTGTTTTCGACCAAGCATTTTATGCAAAGGCCACTGAAAACATTTTGAAACAGAAGAAGCTATTCTCTGAATTGTTCCTTTGTTAGACGTATTTCACACAGTGTGCACACTGTTAGTAGTGGTAGACAAACACTTTCTGGGTTAAGAGACCTCTGCATAGAATCTGGAATGAACCCTGAAGGTTCTGTTGAAGGAGTACTTGATGGTCGAAGATACAACCGTGCTGTTAGATTCCACAAATTGCTATAGGAGGCTCTGCAACGGCTTGTTTGGAATGGGTTTAACTGATGGAAGGCCTCCAAAAAGATAAAAGAGATGATCAATGTGTTTTCACAAGACATATGGCAGGAGACCTTCCATGAAGCACTTCATGCAGCAATCAGCAAGTTAAGGACGAGGTTGAATTTGAAGCGAGTGATGTTGATCATGGTCCAGATGATGAGTCATCAACAGTGTACTATATTGTAGCAGACTCGTATGTAACCACCCTTGTTTCGGTCTACAATAAACAAGACTTAAGTTTCTAACACTAATGTGATACAAATAGTTTTTGACAGTCTAATTGTGTCATCTTATCAAATATTAATATTCATTATGCAACAGATAACTGCAGTTTATGTTATTGCGGTTAGCATATCCAATTTGACCCCAATTTGACCTTCAGTTTAATCTTGTGAGCCCGAAAAACAGAACAATGTACATTCAAAACAGCTTCTGACTACATCTAGCACATGGCCGTTATAATTTGGAGTTGAGAGTTATAAATTCATGTGAACTTATTTCAAGCAGCCCAACTTCATACAATTTTACATGTTTTTAGCACATGATGACATTTGTTTTAAAATGCACCAAAAACTGTTCTGTGCCACACCACAAAAGACAATAATGTTCCTTTTATCAGACTTTTAATAGACTTAGGTACTTCTTCGCTTCAATCATAGCCAATTGGGTTAAGGAAGTCCCAATGGTGTGGCATCTGCAATATATTTTCTGACAGGTGGTAATATTTTAAGCAGGAGTCAAATTTCATGACATTTTGACCTCTGATGACCTACATTATTACTGCATTAGCCCAAAATTACATACCAACATGTAGAGCATCAGGTTACCAACATTTTGAGTGGTCATACTTCACCATATGACTATATTGCTTGTAAGGTTATTCCACTTTCTGGTTTCCCCTATCCTGAAATCTAGTCCCATGGATTTGACTCTGGGGTCCCCCTATATGTGGTGATTACTACCTCTTAGCTGTGAGTCCCAGATTGCCTTCAAAGTTTTTTTTCCTCTATGGATATGTGACTTTCAAAAAATCATACTGAGATTTTACCACCCCAGGTGGTACCAATATCTGGTCTGGCTCATGGACTAAAGTGATCTTCTACTGTGGCACATTGTCTGGTTGTCCATTCGTTGTTAAGTTTTGCATTTTCAACAACTCTAAAACAACAATGATCCCAGCTATGGTGTCTCTAAAGCCTGCTCTCAGAATTCTGATCTTATTTTAAATATGGCCACCTTTACAGCAACATTAAAATATTAAAATGTGTCTTCCATTTGTAAAAAAATATATTTTACAATATTATGAATTACAACCTTGATTCAACCTTTACAGAATGATGTCACTAAAATGAAAATACTGTCATTGGCATTATAAGTCAAACTTGGGGCAAAATTGGAAAACCATATATAGACCCCACCGCACACTTGCCTGCCATCATGTTTCATCAGTATCAGTGCCATGGACAACAAACCTGACTTCAAAAAGAAATTGTTTGGGAGAGACATTGGGAGTGGTTGTTGGTAGGATGATACAGGCAAAGTTTCACCATCATTCTTTTGATATAAGAGAAAATAGTGAAAGAACTTAAAGCAGGCTCAAATTATTGACGGATGACACGCCAGCATGTTTTTCAATTTGACTAGTGTGATAGTAACCCCATGGCTGGCCAAAGACAAAACAGTCATTGCTTTGGCCCTTGAGGCAAGGATAGAAACATACAGCACTTAAAAGAGTCTTTTGTGATGGACTTCATGGGTACAATGTGTGAAGCCAATTTCAGAGAGATAGAACGGTTTCAAAACCAAAACATAACACCTTGGTCATTCTTTATTTTGACACTTCAGTGGTCATCAAATCGCTCTGAGCCATTACTATTGTTGAATTTTGTTATCCACAGTAACACATAATAAGCTCTCTACTCTTGCTTTAATGCAGTATTTGTGTCTTAAACGTGCTTGAACACCTTAGGCCTATTGACATGCATCAAACTGTAAGAACTCAGCAATAAGTAGACAATATGTTCAGTGTGTCTCAGTCTGTGATTTGCGGACTTTTGAACAGGATTTGCAGACACAGAAAAGAGTTCATCTTACTGACCAGCCCATTAGAGTTTTTCAGAGGCAGCTAATCTGCCAGCATTAACAAAGCGTCACATTCTAGGCAGAATGCCAATGGTGTTCAGAGTGTATGGTCTTGTGTAATGTATTTTAAATGACTACCTGCAGCAGAAAAAAATGACAATAATGCAATGGTCAGCCTTGTGTCATGACCTTTCCCAATATTGTCTGGTGCATGATTGGGAGATGTCAACATCCAAGGCCAACCACTACGTTAGACAAACTGGGCCATGTGCTGTAAGAGGAGTGGACAAGACTCCCTCAAATTGTTATTGTCATTGTCAAACGAAGTTGCCGAAGTACTTATTATTATTTTACCCAAGAATGTTTTGCATCAATTTTTTTAACCGCATGATAGATATCTGTTGCATTGTAAGTTACAGAGCCCTGTGGATCTATCATTTTGAACTTTGATTGGCAGCAAGTGGATGCCTATATTATACATGTACATGTACACACAATACAGGCTGTGAAACAGTAATGTACAACACTATATATACATTATTGTTTCAATGTGCCTTGGAAAACCTGGATAAATAACATGGATACTTACTTTATACCTTGTACCAAGAAATGTGCCTTGGTACTATCTTGGCATTAACAATTAAAACAAATTAATAATAGTCAATAGACTACTAAAATTGCATTAAATGTACCATCATCTTGTTTGCGAACCACATGCCAATACAATGTTCCTTCAAACAAGTCCAAAAAAACCCACTCAGGTCGAATTTAGTGATTAGTCGTCATCTGTAGGTACATGTACGTCTTCTATTGAGTTGGGATTTGTCATTACAGACCTGCACAAAGTTCACACAGTGTGTTACACAAGGACTGCACTGCCATCATCCCCGCGACTGCTTCTTCTACCTGAGGGACAATGATATTGTTGAGTTACAGAAGTTGCTGCAGGTAGGAATACACATGATGAGAACTTTTTTTATCCCACCATTTGCCATCGAAATACTTTTAGGAATAAGTTAGGAGTTGTAGAATATGTTTTTATTATTTAACTAAAGTATTTATCCATGACATAAGCTTATGACATTAAAACTTTAGGTGAGTAGGTGTTTACAAAACAACATGGATACCTGTGATGTTGGAGGCAATGTTTTGATAGATGAAAGGGGAAGAGCTACAGTGCTATCAGTGTTGCCAAATGGATATTACAGGTTACCGGTACAGGTTGATGGTATCCAATATGTATTTGACTGTGATGAAGGCAGATTATGTAAAATTCCCTGTGACCAACGTTTCGTCATCAAAATACCATTGTAGAGCATGGCGAAGCAGATGGCAAACACAAAGCCTAAAGATGCCCGAGATAGATTTGTCACTGTTTTGGACAGCATGATCGATGGCGTGATCCTAGACAATCAAAACAAAAACACAGCCAAGAAAACTTTGTATGATTTGAAACTGTTTGATAACTTTCTAAAAGTCCCAAAAGAAATTCACCAAATGCATGAATTACCCCCAAACGAACTAAACACACTTCTATGCAAGTTTTTCAATTTAGCAAAAAACATTTGGGGTAAATTATGAACCAAACAGTCTCACAGGATTTCAGAGCAGCATTGGGAATTCACTAGAACTAAGGGTATGGCTATTCCCTCACGTCATCCTTAGAAATTTTGAGATCACATGAGGTATTAAAGGGGAGGAAAATTGAACTATAGAAAGAAGGGCGTGGCAACTTACCAAGGCGAGCCTATCTAATAAGGAATGAAGAGATCGCGTCCCTGTGGCAGTCCAGATCAATTGGAATCAAGAATCGAATGAACATAATAAACTGTCCATGGCTTTACAACACAATCCATTTCGTGAATTGTTTGATAGCCATTATTTGACCGATGACAAAGTAGAGACAATTTATGGATAACAACAGTAAAAAAGTTGTTATCCATAAATTGTCTCTACTTTGCAATCCATTTCAGGTTAAGAGGTGTCAATGATCACTACAACATGTGTTGGGGGGACATCACCTTGCATGTTGATCACAAATATCTTGAACTGTCCATGAGACAAGAAAAGAATAGGTCTGATGAGAATCCTCGTGATTGTGACGTAAGGCCCAAAATGTGGTCTAATCCCTCTCGGTGCCCTGTGCAGGTGTATATGTTGTATGCCTCCACGTGTCCGCTCGATTTCTGTCGAGATGACGATCCCTTTTACATCGGCACACACACTAAAGGCATGCCTAAACCTGACGATCAGTGGCTTATCTTCTACCGTATTGGGAAAAACAAACTTTCCTCTCTCCTGAAAAACATGTGCGATGCCGCTTGTCTCCAAACATCGAAACCACTCACTAATCACTCTGCACGCAAACACCTTGTGCGAAAGTTGAATGACAATAATGTTCTGCCAAATTAAATAATGCAGATAACTGGTCACAAAAACTTCCATTCTATGAACAATTACTGCCATATTAATCCTGACGAGCACAAGCAAATATCAAACAATAATTTGCGAAACACTCCATCCCAGACTGTGACATCCCAGCTTGTTGATAAAACTCCCGTCATGCAGAGCGGCCCCTCACGTAATGTCCAAATCGCAAGTAGACAACACTCTGGTGGTGTCAACATGGTGGTTTGTTGGCAACATTACTGGTGGAAACATAACGATTGATCTTGTTAACCTCCAAGCCCGGTCCCAGTCAAAAGACGCCGGATTGTCATTGAAAGTGACATCAACTAAAGCATACTCTGACCTCTCCTCGCATGAGGCATTCTTCAAGTGAGATAAGTGAGCAGTTTGATTCGAAAGCTATGTATCAGTGAAATTACACCAGAGATATAATCATATGACACAGAATAGTTGTTGTTACCGATCATAAAGTTTCAATTATTTTGCAAAACTCTGTTCAAGTGTTTTGTTTTTTTTGCCCAGCAAAGGAATATGCCATGAAGGAGTTGAGAGGGTGTTTATTTTGGTTCACAGTAACTTCACACGGCAATGGAAAACATGTATCACTACACATGATCTATATATAAGATTTCAACAAGTTTCTGATGTTACTTTTAATGCATTTATTTCTTGAAAGGGAAACAATAATGTGAAAATGATAAACAGAATTCATCACGAGTGTTTTTTTTTATATGGGAAATTTTAACTGAGTTTTAGTAAATCAGTATTTGCCGAGCCCTGGTGATGAATCCTCAGTCAGTTATCTCATCTGAGTTCACATTAGCCATACTTTTAAACATGTTAAAGCAAAATATTTACTTGGACCTGGTCTCAGCCACCATTGATGCATGCACATCACCAGGGACTTCACATCATGACCAAGCCATGCACATCACCATGTACTTCACTTCATGACCAATGCATGCACATCACCAGGGACTTCACATCATGACCAATGCATGCACATCACCATGTACTTCACTTCATGACCAATGCATGCACATCACCATGTATTTCACATCATGACCAAACCATGCACATCACCAGGGACTTCACATCATGACCAAGCCATGCACATCACCATGTACTTCACTTCATGACCAATGCATGCACATCACCAGGGACTTCACATCATGACCAATGCATGCACATCACCATGTACTTCACATCATGACCAATGCATGCACATCACCATGTACTTCACATCATGACCAATGCATGCACATCACCATGTACTTCACATCATGACCAATGCATGCACATCACCAGGGACTTCACTTCATGACCAAGCCATGCACATCACCATGTACTTCACATCATGACCAAACCATGCACATCACCAGGGACTTCACATCATGACCAAACCATGCACATCACCAGGGACTTCACATCATGACCAATGCATGCACATCACCATGTACTCCACTTCATGACCAAGCCATGCACATCACCATGTACTTCACATCATGACCAAACCATGCACATCACCATGTACTTCACATCATGACCAATGCATGAACATCAACATATACTTCACATCATGACCAAACCATGCACATCACCAGGGACAACACATCATGACCAATGCATGCACATCACCATGTACTCCACTTCATGACCAAGCCATGCACATCAATATGTACTTCACATCATGACCAATGCATGCACATCACCATGTACTTCACATCATGACCAATGCATGCACATCACCATGTACTTCACATCATGACCAAACCATGCACATCACCAGGGACTTCACATCATGACCAATGCATGAACATCAACATATACTTCACATCATGACCAAACCATGCACATCACCAGGGACAACACATCATGACCAATGCATGCACATCACCATGTACTCCACTTCATGACCAAGCCATGCACATCAATATGTACTTCACATCATGACCAATGCATGCACATCACCATGTACTTCACATCATGACCAATGCATGCACATCACCATGTACTTCACATCATGACCAAACCATGCACATCACCAGGGACTTCACATCATGACCAATGCATGCACATCACCATGTACTTCACATCATGACCAATGCATGCACTTCGCCATGTACTTCACATCATGACCAATGCATGCACATCACCATGTACTTCACTTCATGACCAAACCATGCACATCACCAGGGACTTCTTATAAATATGATCAGGCTAGCCCTACCTTTCAAAAATAAACACACTATCTCCTCAATCAACAAAGCAATCCAAACTGAAGACATAGAATACAGCGATGTAGTATGGAATAATAAAGTAGCTTGTTTGAATTAAAGCATTTACAATTCTCACAAAATTGAGTGAGAAGAGGCAGACATTTTAAACATGATGAATATTATATTCTCTTAAAAATAAAGTAGGGAATCATGAAATATAATGTTAATACCAAGTACAGTACAGTGTGAACACGCTTGTAATGAACTGACGGATATATCATACTTTTTTTGGTCCTGGGCTTTTGCTGTTAATTTGCTGTATATTTGTTCAGAACTATGGTTATAACGAAACTAAAATTAGTGGTCCCTTTGAGTTTGTTATAACCATAGTTTTCTGTATTAGAGCAATGATAAGTGTTTACGCAAGAACATTAATGTCCAATAGTTTGCACGTGCCTCATTCCTGGTTTTGACACTTTCAAGAAAGGTAAATTAATCTCTGTGGACCATTAAGTCTGTCAATCTTCTTGATTCTGCTTATCATACAGTTGTTATTTACTTGATTTATTCTTTGTGTGTGTATAAAGTAGCGATGTGGCGCCTGCAATGTGTAGTTCGAAACTGGCAGATATCAGTGTCGCAAGGTTAGAGGGTGTTATATCCTAACTGGAGTAGTGGCAGCGCAAAATGGACCAGCGCCTGACAAAGAAGACATTTAACAAACACATCTTCTAGTCTTGTGTTCCACAAAATGTAAATGCCCTCATCAGGCACAGAATTTTGCCTGGAAAATGGAGGAATCTGTAACTATGGCCAATGCACAACAAGCCCCCAAATTGTTGTGCCTGAGCAAGGCGACGTTTTTTTTATTTCTTGGTTTATGGATTTCAACTCATTTCAAAAGTGAGTGAGGTAGACTAATTTTTTTTAAAAAAGAGAGAGATTTTTTTTACTTGAATTTTGTCCTGAAAAGTTAGGTAGTTATAAGAAAAATATTCTGGAGTAACAAAATTAAAACAACTCAATTTTTCAAGAACATTTTATAATATCCCTGGCACTCAGCTTGTGCACAAATGGCAATATAACAATATTCCTGCTATTTTGGCAGCATGGGCAACATTTAACTCTTTGAACACCAGCCAACCAGAAGATTACTGCTGTGACACCAAATTCCCAGAGACTCTTGTGTGATAGATGAAGACATTTATCAAGGAAATTATCTCTTTGCTACTACATGTTTGGCCATACACTATTTGAAAGGTCTTATTAATCCTATTGTTTATAAATATGATAGTTATGTGTATTACATTATTTAAATAA